ATCCCCTCCCTTCAGGAAACTTCAACAACTTGACCAGTTCGCTCAGCACTCAGAAGGAACCACGGAATCTTCTTTTGGAGCACTGCCTCGTGGGTCTCTGGAACCCCTACGTAGGACTGTACCTTGTCCGCAGCCAGAAATAAGGGCCTGGGAACATAGCAGCCATGCTCCGGACTGTCAGTGCAACCTGCCGCTGTCAGCTGGCACATTTGATCCTTCACAGCTCCTCCACCACGTCTTCGCTCAGCAAAACGATGCCCTCTGCAAACTTGCTTCTGTCGCGAAGGTGTGGTCTCTGGCCGCACACCAGGAGCACAAATTCTGCTTTCCGAACAGGTGGAAGACTGCCCAGAAGCAGCCCAGGAAAAACAGCTTGGGCACGGTGACCATGCTTCCTAATTCTGTGCTTCCCGTCTATTTACAGAGTTTTGCTGCTCATTCTGACTTCGTTTCAGATTCAGAATCTGCCATGCCTTGCAAGCCAAACCCTAAAACCTTTCGTCCTAAACCCTGAAGCCCAGGAACCCGAAAGCCTCTAACCGTGAACCATTGAACCACCGACAACCTGAAATTCCCAAACCTTGACCCTTCGAACTCTTGATTCACTTCTAATCCCATCACTCACGCAAGCTAGGCTCGGACGATCCATGGACGGCTGAGATCGCCCTGGTAGATCCCCACGGTCGGGCTTTCAGGCCGGGGGGGCAATGAGTTTAGTACCTAGCCGCAGTTCTGGGTTTTGGGCTCCATAGTTTGGCGTTAAGGCCTGTTATAAGGTTTAGGACTTGGGGGAGCAAAGACCTCGGACGGTTCGTTGATGTTCGTTGCACATGTCGCGCTTCTATGGTAGGCTGAGGGGATGGATGACCTTGCAGCTCCAGCGACCCGTGCAGGCATTTTTGAGCGGTACCCAATTCTGCCGAAGCAGCTCCCAGAGGCCACTTTGCTCCCACAAACAACCCCGTTGAAGGACCCAAGCACAGGCTGCAAAGTTGGCAGGAATCTCATGTTTTGCTCGAAACTCATTGCTACCAAGTACAATCATAACAAATCTCTGCAGAGGCCTGCTCAACACCGCAGCGGCCGTTCTGGACGACGTTCTTGTATGGACACCTAGAAGACCATCCAAACAGCAACCATAAAGACACACTGGAGCGGCTTAGCCTTGCGCAATTGTGCTGGAACCTGGTATGATGTCCTCCGAATTGGACCCCGAAACATCTAAGCCTTCTTTGGTGGCTTGATAGAATCCAAGCTCTTTGGCAGTATGTTGTTGCCCGACCAGCAGTTCTCCCAGCATCCGTAGAATCAGCTTTCGGCGCTACGGGAACGCACATGAGATTACCAGACATGAAATGAAGAAACGTCAGATGCCTGGAACATTCACCCAGCAGACGTAGCCCTGCAACGAGTACTGCAGAATCTCCTGTAGTTACAGCAGATCCCTTCAGCAAAGAACTTTCCGATTCTCTTTCTGTCGCATTGAGCTTTGCGCGTGGAAGCTGAGGCGACACAATCTGAGCAACATAGCTGCCGTGATCATTGTCTTTGCTGCACTGGCATCACAGGAAAGCTGCCTGCGCGTCTGACGACTATGACGGCAGCTAAATTTCAAGAATTCCCATACCGATGTTGCAACAGTGGACCAGCAGCAAGGATCCACTCGCAAAAGCTTGCGAGTGCAGGAGATGTTCCGGGCCATGAGATTGTAAGCCCTTGGAAACCACTTTGGCTGCCATGATTTTGGGTTTTAGTTGTTTTAGCTGTCAATTGCCTAGCCGGCTCGCCACCTTGGTGTGTCGCTTCCATGACACGCTACTGCCAGTGGTTTGCAAGAGAGATGCCCGCATTCTGCGATGAACCAGGGCCGCTGCTGCAATGCATCATCAGTTCATGGCCCGGCATGGGCTTTCTCGGAAATGTGTAGGGGTGCAGCATACAGATGCAAACTCTTCATCAAAGCTACGCTGTTCTGCTGGGGACTAGACATTGGACGGAGTCACGGGGAAGAACGACAGCGACACCAATACCGAACATGTCGTATGTGGCAGTGTTCCGAGGCACCGCGTTGTGATGCAGTTTTACCATGCAGTGCAAGCTGCCGTGTTGCAATTCTGACATACCCTGACTTCTTTAGCTACAGATCCCTGACAGCAGCCCTGATGTGAACCAGGGTACATTGCCCCTGCAAAGCACATGTCGGCGCTGCAGCCCTGAAAAAAGCCAGGCTACCAGCTGTGCGCAGCGGTGGCTAATGCACTTTCTAGGGCACAGCTTCGCCCTATCGAATTCGGGAGCTAGGATGCGCTGCAGGCTTCCAGTTCACAGCTTGAAGAAACTCCACGTAGCACAAGGATCCGCAGAGGGGCGCTCCAGGCACAGGAGATCAGAGGCACGGCCACCGTTACCATTCTACCGTTCGCGCCTTCTCTTCCTATCTTGGGCATAGCTTTCGAGGGACACAGCCACACCCAGTGCAAATGCGGAGGACCGACCTGCGGAGCTCCGAGCTCCCCCCGCGGCGGCTGGAGCTGAGCGGAGCCCCCTCCTGCAGTTGTGAAATCTGGAGCCGAAAGGAAGCGCGGCCGTTTCCGGAATTATCTCACTTTCAGAGAAAGACCTGTGCGACATCCACAAAAAAGTGCTTTCCCTCACCGGAGCATCTTCAGAAGACGGCACGCTAAATTACGACCATAGCTAGGAACAAGAACTGTTAGTTTACTTTCAGGAAACGGCGACTGGGAGAACGGGAGAGGCGCCCACACGAGCTGACAAGCTGGCACAAAGTGAACCAACATCTCTCGCAACTGCCGCAGCTCCTCTTTCGTTATGACTCAAGGCTCGATTGAACCATCCGCCACGAACAAAGGCTACGTGCTGCGCAGCATTGAGAGGTGCTGGCCTTGGCCACATGATCAGGATACGTGGGCTTCGGAGAGGCCGTTCAAATTTCGACGTTCCACGGCTCGTCGTTTACGGTTTTGCAATGGTGTTCACGACATGTGAGTTCTACAACGAGCCATGGGTCAGGGTGGTGCAGTAGTTCAAACATGAGAATGGCTGGAGATCTCACTTCCAAAGATACGGAAGCTGAAGAGAACTGCCGATTTCGAAGGATGCAGCTACGACTCTCGCTGGTAAAGGCTGTGACATCTCCCGCGTGCTTCTGCACGCGTGTTCGTCGGTTCAACAAGCAGCCAGCACTTTCTGTGCCATGGAGCACAATACCCATTGAGACAAGTTGCTCGACGATTTGTTCGGCAGTTGGACGCCGTATGCGTTTTCGCTCCCATAGACTCGAAGGTATGCTCCTACTGATGCAATCTTGGCCTCGTCTTGAATTGATGAGTCAGTCTGGGCTGGCTTCTCCCGGAACTGCCACAGAACGGCCATGCCGTGATTCGATCCTTGTGTGAAATGTGTGCGTGTGTGTGTGTGTCATCAGACGTTAGGGAACATGCTGTGGAGTTCTCCGCAAGAGGCTCCAACCCAGTCAGTCAGGGCAACGGTGTCAGCGATTGCAGTGCGCAGGCTGCATCGGCATCAAAGGCCGGGACATGCCGGGACGAAACTCAGACTTCCAATGGTGGCAACGGCGTTCGGACTGCAGAAGTGCAGAAGCCTGATATCTAGCGAACAGTAAGAACCTCAGGGGGGGTAACGTACGTACGTTCGCACTTTGGGTACGTACGTACGTTCGTACGTTAGTACGTACGTTGGGCACGTACGTACGTACGTTATACTTATAGTGTATACGTTAGTATGTTATAGCACGTAGCTGCTCTAGTACGTATGTATGTATATAGAGGACAGCACGTAGATACGTACCTAAGTACATACATGAGTGCGACAGTACGTTAGTACGCATGACTGGAAGATACTGCGTGTGCGTACGCTGAAGGCAAACTGTTTGCGGGGGGGCTGACGGGTATGTATGTATGTTTGTACAGACAACGTCCAGGGCGGAAGGGGTGCGGGTATGTATGTCTGTTAGTACGTTACTGATAGGTTCACATTCTGTGCCACCTGTCCAGCCTGCGCACACACACACACACAAACACACGGAATCCTCCCCCTGTAACAAACAATTCCGGCCGGCGAAGTCATGCCCCAATTCAGTGCAACAGCATCCAAGCTCTAGTAGAACACCTTCGCTGAGGACAGGCCGATGCTCTCCAAGCTACAAGAGGGCACGATCTCACAGTGAGTCTTCCTCCGGCGATTTGTCAATCGAAGAAGGCTGCCAAGCTCGGCACAACGATTGTTACCCTTGAAGCACTGCATCCGCCTGCACTGAGTGGATTCCAAAACCCACTGCAGGCTGCTCACTGCTCACACGGCTCACGTCACCTCCAAGACTGCAAATACTGCATAGCGCGTGCAAATGCAACGGTCCTGACCCCACTCTCAAAGTCACCTCCTCCCTGCCAGCCTTGCAGGCTCTAGATCACGACGCTAATTTTTCTTGATCATATCCAAATCTAGGAAGGAAGTGCACACGGATCACGGCCTACTCATCTTGCATGCGGTAAACATGGGCTGGAGGACCAAGACCTGGAACAGGAAGGCCATGTTGCCGGGCAAACATCCCACAGCGACGTTGGACCGAGTCCGTTTCCTGCTTTCTTCTATGGATGAGAAAAACCATCACAATGCCGAACCTTTTGCTTCATGGCCGAATGGTGCTAAGAAGCCATGAAACATCAACTCAACAGAACAAGTTTCATGGCCTGTGATACGGGGTTCTGTTTCTAAAACTAGCCTGGGAACAGGATTCCTTGAAACGGCTCGCCGCTCATCATTGCAGCGGCTACGTCGCTGAGGGCCTAACCCGAAAAAGCAGCCGACAACTGCCAGCGCAGCTGGAGGCTGCGAGAGCTACGCCTCGGGGCACAGCAGCCAGAGAAACTGCCCCCGAAACCCTGAACCCTTCACCTGGAACACTTTCAGGTCTCGGCCTGGTGCACCACTTGGCCATCGCAAGTCCAATCCCGGAGTGCCTACCTGGGACGAGAGCTTCAAGCTTCGACTTGACCACACGGCAAGGCTGAGGCTCTTTTGCTTACGGTTCTTGCCATCTTCCAAGAAGTTTCGGAGGGTTCTGAACCACACAGAGAAGGCTCTTCGGACATCATAGGGGGTAGGGGTTTCAAGGAATCGTGAGGCTGAAGAAGCCCCAAACTCTGCCTTTCCTGGTGTCGCAGGCCCTCTCTCAGCTGCCGGCTGGTACATCCAGGACGTGGGCCGCTGTGATCCCTGACCCCAGGCCGGCTCTCGCTCGGACCCTCTCGGAAGTCCAATGCGCTTTCCCCGTGACTGCCTGTGTCTTCTGGATGTCGAGCTGCTCACTTGTCCGATCCTTAGAACTCGAAGAGAATGCAGCTGCTGACAATGGACGACACATTATCCGGTCGGACTGCAAAGCTTACCTGAAAGTGGTGCATGCCTGCATAAGATAAAGCGATCGAGGCACATCCACGAGAGGCACCAGCCTTGCAAGGACATTGCAAGACCACCTTTTTGAGCTACAACAGGCTCAACTTCGGGTCGCAGAGTCCGCAGGATTCGGCCGTCCCTTCTGCACTGGGTCATCGCCCCCTCCGCCGTCAGCCGGCCTGCCGCTCTTGGCCAGGTCTTTGAAGCGCTCGCTCAGCGCCTGGAGCCCCACCCGGACCCTCACGAACGAAACAGGGACAGGCATTGCATCCGGGACCCTCAGCCTCTCAGAAACGTGGCGAATTACCGGCGGTGAACTCTTGCAGTCGCATTTGGAAGTCTTTCGGTTGGTACTGGGGTGTCTGAAAGTTGAAGAAATCTTTGCAAGCTCATGGAGGTGCAACGAGCCGCACGGTGCAAAATTGCAAGAAATGAATCCGGGCCGCTCGCATTGCTCTAAGGTTTCCGGAACCACAGAAAGCCAACATCGGCAAAGTCGGACGAATAGACTGCAACTGGGGAATGTTGAGCTGCAAGCAAGAAGCGAAGGTCACGAAAACAGCACACGAGGGCTCTTAGCGATGTAGCTAGCCGATGAAAGCATCAGGGAAGGATCTATGCCTGCTTGCCCTGGAGCTTCGAAATCACCACGTTCAGGACCACCTCGCCGACGGGCAGAGGCGCATTTACGGCTTGAAAGGATCTCGGACTGCAGCCGTTCAGACTTCAGGTTTCAGCCTGCCTTGGTCGTGCCGTTGTCGACTGCCTTGTGCTGAAGAGCATGGAAGCAATCCTGCCAAACTTCTCTGCAGCTTTCTCTTTCTCTATCTATCTCTCTTTCTCTCTCGCCCTGCCCTTCTCACTCTTTTCCTTTCTCACTTTCTATTTCTGTGCTTGTCATTGCTTGTCAAGAACAAGCACAAACTCGTGGCTGGGTCGAGTTCAAGATATCGGCATCCAAAGCATCGATTGACTCACTTTGCACGGATTGCTAGCATCTGCCTTGAACCCGTGTTGATTATGCGACCAACTCGACACGAGTTGCACGAAGGCCTGTGCCAGGTGCGGACTCCGGTAGTTGACCTGCCGAGCTGTCACGAGCCTCTCCGAAGCTCTCGAGGTTTGGTCGTAGAAAGGCATTACTATCTACATTGACATGCTGGAGCCTTAGGCTTGCAGCGCGACACTGGCCTTGCCAACCTGAACCCAACCCCTACTGATGCATGCCAGGCCACAAACACGTAAGCACCACTGGCAACCTGGGAAACGACCGGGTTCCTCAGTCGCGTGGTCCAAACACTTATCTTCGACTCCGCACCCAAACCGCCTGTCAAGTCGTGCGCAATCTCTCCTGCCCTTCATGCTCCACTGCAGGCCCCACGAAGATCGTGGTGTGCGCGACGGTTGCTTCGGGTACGCAATTGAAGCCAGCAGCGTCTTCTTTGGCACGTAGAGGAGGAAGTCGTAACCTCGTCCTCAGCGCTAAGCTTCCTGTGTGTGCCGTCCGCAAGAAATTGCCTGGTGCTTTCAAGTTACCATGTCCGACCTCATCGAGCCAACAGACCACCTGGTGAAGACAAAACTGTGCAAACAACTCCGACAGTTCTGCACACATCGCCTCCTCTTGACTGGCCAAGACGTCAGGAAGATTTCGGATGACGAGGGTGGTCGCGGACCACCTTGCAGTAGCTGACACGTCAGCTCCCCACTTTCATGACATCTCCCTGACTTAGACAGCGCGAGCAATCAGGCACGGTTGTGGACAGAGTGGCTGCACCCACCTCCGACTTACAACGGCCGTGCCAGTACGACCTGCCGTCTGCTCCCGGACTACTCCGCCCCTCAGGCCGACACTCCGTAGCGACTCCTCAGAACAGAAGGCGACAAATGGATTAGTATGCGGGACAGCTTCGGGCTTTACTGGGGCAACTTCAAGATATCCACCGTGGCGGAAGGGACCCGAGGCATCTGAGGCAAGAGTCGACATGTGGGACTCAATGCCCGTCTTGCGGTGCTGCCACGAAAAGGGTGAGCTTTAGAACTTATCCGCCTACCAGAGCCATCCAGATGAGCACTGCCTGCGCAGGATCTGTGTAGGAATTCCCAGCAACGTGTTGGTTAATGCTGAAGAAGACAGCCCCACGGCGAAGAGAATAGGGCTGAGAGTTCTTTGCGTTGCTTGGCTCAGGGGTGCCGGATTGTCTTAGGAGGGACAGCTTTGCTGAGTTGTCAATCAAACAAAAGCAGAGAGCAGGAAAGTGTTCCTGAGCATTAGAGGCTTCCTGTGTTGATCCAGACCAGCCAGACATGGTGTTGAAAACAGCCTCATCTTCCTGCATTTCCATGTTCCAAGGTCCCTGCTTCATAACTTGCCCACAGCCGGTCCAAAACGCATGCGTACCGGCACACAACAAACAGTGTACAACAAGACGACATGCAGAGAGAGTTGCAAGTAGGTTAGTGCACGCACGCAGAATCTGGATCTTCCCAGACATGCACCCTGCCAGTGTCTGCATTCTGTGCACTGAGCTTCGTCAAGGCAGCAAACGGATACCCAGAAAACCCCTCTTGTTCTGGCGATCCTCGCGTTTGACCGGAAGTGTCGAGCATCGCCCGTGCTCGGCTCCAAACGTCTTCGGCTACCTGTCACCGATTTACACAGACGGTGCTTCCGCTGGACGGAAGCCGGACTTATCTGGGCTTGGTTCTCAAGTTCCAGACATCAAGCCGAAACACTCTCATCCCGCCTTCTCTATCTGGTCGGATGCAAAGTAGGGGCAGCAGATGCTCCCACTGTGGGGGTCCTACAGAATCAGTTTCCTTTTGCAAGGTGCGGTGGTTCTGGTCACCTAGTTGACACGATGGAAACGAACATCCACTGCCATAAGGTACATTCGCAACGTGTTAAGTCCCAACCTTCTGGGTCAGGTGCCAAAACTTGACGAAGTTTTCCTCGGGATAGAAATCTCATGCCCTTTACGAACAGTGACTTTGAATCGGAGCACGCCTCCCTGACATGTCGTCCAACAGTTGTGTCAACCCTGAGCTTGTGCACTGCAAAGCGGCGATTGAACCTCAATTCCTAGCTTGCAACCTTTTCCGTCAATGCAAGGGAAGAAGGAGGTCGTCGGTGTGAGCATGGTGTTTCTTGGCTTTGGTTTCAGCTGCCGCAGACGTGGTGCTGTGAAGCCCTGCACGATGGCCGGACAAATGTTCAGCTTCGTGTCCTCAGCTCCGAAAAGTTTTGAATACCTCTTGCTCCAACGAGAAGGTACGAATGCAATTCGAACATCTCCGATAATATCTCTGCTGCATGCTGCGGATCACATTGTACCGCAATTGTCAACGAACCATGGACATTCCTCCTACGATCAAGCTTGGAATGAACATCAATCCAAATTGGACAAGACTCGCCATCTGTTATCTTGGAGTTGTGGAACCTCACACATGCCGAAATGTGCCGACATATTCGATGCTTCGATGGTGTCGAGCAAGTTCCATGAATGGCCAAGTGTTTGTGTAGTAAGGCACCTCTTTGATCAGTCTGAGCCCCAGGCTGCGTGCGGAAGACTACCGCAAGCTCGGGACTACCTTCGCTCAAAGCTGATATCAATGTCGAGTGTTTGCAAATGTCTTCAGCTGCACGACTCAGACGGGACCCGTCATCATCACCATCACCACTGTATATCTGCAACACTGACGAGCGGAGAGCTTTGTTGACTAGGTGTGGCCAAGTAGGTTTTCCAAAGGTTGTGGCGGTGTCCTGCTGTATTCTCGACGCGATTTGGACGTCGCATAGCCTTATCTTCTGCCTTTCCTCCAGTCTACCATGGTTGTTTCTCTGGTTAGTTGTGCTTGTATTCCCTTCCTCTTTCCTTGTGCCTCCCTTTCTGTCGTGAGTTGGCTCCATTGCTCCTTCGGTTGTTCAATGTTTTGTTCGCTCCTTCTTTCGTTCTTGTCTTGGCTCGCCAGCTGCTTCTCTCTTTCTTTCTCTGACTGTGTATGACTGTGTCTCACTTGTTCTTTCCTTGCTAGTTATCTTTCTGCGTGTTCCTCCGTTCCGTTTGCTCTTGCTGCATCAAAATTGTTGATCTGATTACTGCTCATCCCGTGCCGCAATGGCCTTGCAGCAAGCCCCGGAAGGCCTGTCAAGATTTAACTTCACGATTTATGTTGGAAATTGGAGACCTTCGACTGCTTGACATGAGCGGTGACGCAGCAAATCGCGGTTCAACCACAAATAGTCTCCAAGCTGCGAAAGTTGATAAAGGCGCTGGATGTTTGACGTCGGCTGGATTTCTTGGCTGGGAACCACAGAAGCACATCCTCAGATTGATGCTCTCCCGTGTGCTTGGCTTTCTCTTTTGACTTTGCTGCACACCAAGCTTCATAGAGATCCCGGTACCCGAAACCTGAGCTGGCGATGATCTGCTAGCCGTGTGAAGCACAGAAAACACATAGTCTTCTCACATGAGTGCTGGAACTAGCCAGCTTTTACAACCAACTCACAGGCCTAAATCCCCAATCATCTCCGATTGGGGTTGCTTTGAACAGCCAACGGCCAGCTTCTATCGAGCTAGATTTCCTGTTTCTGGGCAGGCTGCCGTCGATGAAATCCATGACCTCTCAGGTCGCATGGAACCGTCGAAATTTCGTGCGCTGCGGCCGCCTTGTAGATCAGTAGGGGCATGCTCAGCATGCTCTTCCACGAACTTCTTACTTTTGCATTGTGTGGCCTGTTGCTGGTTGAAGTCGAGCGGGAGGTTCTGGATGATGAAAGATGTCACAGCCTGGCGTCTTTTGAGATGGCTCATACACGTGATGCAGGTCTACCCCGCTAGAATTGTAAATCATTCTGTAAAGTTTCCGGCAGCATAGACCGAACACTAGCCCGAAAATTCCACACATGACGCGAATCTCGGTTGTAAACCCGAGACGAACCCATGCCAAGCTTTGCGACCTTGGATGTCGAAGGCAAGGCCTCCAGCTTATTGAAACACACAGCGCAACACTGGGATGCTCTTCTATTCCTAAGCTCTGCGATTGAAAGGTGACGCAGCTGCGAACGTTACCTGCCTCACCACGTTCGTCTGTACTGGAGCTGCCGATGTAGGTCCACTGCCTCATGCGATGATCGAAAGTTTCAGGTGTGCAGTGGTTCACTCGCATGCAGAACCGAATGAGCAAGGAAGGGAAGGCTGCGAGACAGAATCTGGCCGAGAGGCTCCACGGCGGCGCCATCCTCCTGGTACAGGAAGCAAAGCGGGGGTAGCGGGTTTTGTAAGGCCGTCAGGCACCTGGGGTCACCAACGAAGCTTTGTTAAAATGCCGTAAGATGAAGTTCGACCCCTTACCAATTCTCAGACTGCGCTGGCCTCGTCGATGCTCTCTGACCTGAACTGAGAATACAGTCGCCTCCGACCACTTGTACCTCGACAGCGAAGTGCATCCAAGTTGCGCAGGCAGGTCACTAGCAGCCGAAATGCTTGCCCACTCCTGAACGACCAGAATCCAATTCAGGTTTGTGCTCGCGTCTTGCTCTGACACGTGCAACTGGCATGGCAGACCCGAGGTGGTGATGATGATGGTGATGATGAAGCAGTGGAGCCGGAGGCGGAGAAGCGAAAGGAGTCGGAGGATGTGCAGTCCCATCTTGTCTTCTGGGGGCGATTCGACGTATTGCTTGTAGTCCGGGCACCTGTGAGCATCCAGTGCCACTGGCATAGATGGCTCTATAAACTGCCCTCAGTCGTGTAAAGTTTTTGTACGGATGTATGAAGATCATTTCATGTGGATCAGCCAGATGCGAGATGCGGAACTTGCCGTCGATCAACTTACCTGCTGCTGCATTTCGGTTACGCAGCTCAAACAGCAATCCTCGGACCAGATTGCTCCCTAAACCTCCAGCATGGGCCCACGCGTACTTTCCCACATGTTGCGAAGATAAGCCAAACTCGTGGGCTTCTTGAACGTTGTCGAAGTCTTCACCGCACGGTGCTGGAGCTTGGAAGAATTGACCGCCCTGCTTGGCATACAGCATCCTGTCATGCAGCTGGATACCTGCTTTCTGCAAGCACAAGCCTTACATCTCCGACAGGCAAAAGTACACGATTCAGTTGTGGCCTTACGAAACTCAACAACAAGCCTTTGAACGGGATGAATATGACCCAAGAAGCTGATGGGAACGTCGTCAAAGCCGTCCTCCACCAGCGCGCACTCGTCCCAAAAGCCGGTCTCGAAACTTGCGCCACGAACGTTCGCCATGGGTGCCGTGGACAGGACCTGTGCCAAACGGAAAAGAGCACCGCGAGGAAGGCAGAAACCAACATCTGCAAAGTACCCCAAATCATGCATCCAGAAGAAATACACGCGGCCCAAGAAGTACGACTCGTCATCAGGATGCAAGCGGTGCTTCTGGATGTACCTGAGCAAATTCTCCACCACAAAGATACTATCCATTTCCAGCCGGCAATACCAATCAGCATCAATGTGCTGAGCTGCATACAATATCATATACCACGTGACCTGTATCAGCAAAGTCTTTTGGCCTTTTTTGTTGTTTGCCCAGCGTACCGATTCGGTTGCAATCTCTGGAAAGTGGTCCTTGAGGTTCACCAAATCATCAGAATCGTATTCTGGCCTCATAAGCTCTGGACCCAACGAAAAGAAGATCTTGGCAATGCTGCAGTGCTTAACCCATGTCCTGCGAACAAGCTTCCAGAACTTCATATCGGTGGGTGGGAAGCCAGCCAACAAACAGGCCACACTTTGATTCCACGGATTTGTAGGCGCGTGCCTCTTAAACACGAGGCGCTCACTCTCCTCTCTTTGCTGCCGTTTTGCATCCGAGCTTGCAAGCAAAGGGTGGTAGCGCTGAATCTGCGTAGTCTGCATAGACCTTGAGCGGAGAAGCAGCTCCAACCGCTCCGACACGCGGAGCGACTTCTCTATTGCATTGTACTTTGCCAGGCACGGATCGAGATACGCAAGCAGCACGGCAGACGTTTGTACTAGTGACGACGCCTGAAAAGCATGCCCATAAGATAGGAGCGTCTCGGAACAAGAAAGCAGGAAATCCAGGGACCCGAGGGCACACTTTGCACCAGAAACTGCCAAACTGACTTCCTCTTCAATGTCTTTGTCAACGATATCGCTCGGTGCCGGTGGCAGGCGACGAATGCCATCCCAGCAAGTGCATGCATCAAAATAGGATTGTTCAGAGGATGCTCCGGGAGCACGAGAAGGCTCTGACAGGAGAACCACCACAGTCGTTGAAACCAGAACAAACGGTTGTCTCATGGCTTGACGCTTGACACAAGGTACTCGCTGCGCACTGCCTCCAAATACTCTCTACATTCTACATATCCATGGATGTAAGGCTGGCGAACGCTGACTGGCCATCTACATTCTACATATCCATGGATGTAAGGCTGGCGAACACTCACTGGCCATCAGCGGATGACATGGATAACGGATCGGCACACCCGATGTTATTGCACTGTTTTGACTGGACGAGCCCACCAGCTACACGTGCGCCTGAGATGCTTTGGCATGCACTCTCGAGGACCCCCAACCTGCTGCAGCCGCGTAGAATCTAAGGCCCACCTGGTGTTGGGTTCTGAGCACCCCGTGCGCTGCAGGTGGATCGCCTGGGTTTGCGGCTCCTGCAGCCAAGGAGTTCAGGCAAGCTTGTGGGCGACTCTTGTCACATCATTGAAGCTATGAAACTCTCTCCGCCTCTGGCTGGTATCTGTGGGCCTGCAGCCAGCAGCTCTTGCATCATCCTCGAGACATTTCCCTCCAGCCCCTGATGCTCCCGATGGACACGGTTAGGACGGAAGAAGCCAAGCCAAGCTGCTGGAGAAAGGTTGGAAGCCACTGGCTGGGATCCAATCCTGGAATTCTGCAGCAAGAACGGCTGCAAACGCCGCGAGCCGCCCACTATAGTAGTCACTAGAGCCCTGATCCAGTCCTGGCAGGCTCATCAGGTGCTCTGCAATGGTAGGAAGCTGCTGCAGCTTCGTCATGGGATCCCTTAGAATCCACAGTGATTTTCAACGGTAATTTTAAAGTCACGCAATGCAGACTTCACGGCATTTGGATGCTGGTAGAGCTGTCACTGAGGCACTACAATCATAGGCTGGATCGTTCATGCACAGCTCTGAAGGGTTGAGATCAAGCGGTAAGTCTGCAACTCTTCGATTGAGCGAAAGGCTAGTGTTTTTAACGGCCTGGACCCACAAGTCAAGCCAAACCCATCCTTACTCCTGTTGGGCTTCCGAGGTGACTATGTTTGCTGTGCTCCTGGGGGCTCGACATCGGCGAAGTACAGGCCTGTGAGAAGGGTGAGCTGGAAAGAAAGCAAAACGGACCCCGACGGACCGGACGCGGCTTTCGCCTCGCCTCTTGGAGCTTCGGGACCAAGCCGACAAACCTCAGACTTCGAAGCGGTCAAGGCGGTAGCCGCGGTATAGCTGAAAAACTTCACCAAGGCAATGTGTCACTCCAGGTGGCGTGGACAGGTGCACTGGCTGGGAGGTTTCCGGCACCTGCAGGCACCAGTCTTCCGCGACATGGATGGTCTCTTGACCGCCAAGCAGAATCAGGCCTGCGCCGCTTCGTCTTGTCCTGCCCCTGCCTGCAGACGTTCACAGGGACGGTCAAGCAGATCCCCGACTCTGAACCCGGGGCCTGGGGCCCATGGGATCTGGGTATAGAAACTCCGACGCTCAACCTAACCCTGCAGGTAGCCACATGGATCCGGTGTGAGGCGTCCACGGGCACACAGGTACTTCTGTAAGCCATGAAGGTTAATCTATGTTAATCTGCACCTGCCAGCCTACTGTTGGTCGAAAATCAGAGCTTCGGTCAAAGCCTTCTCAGGCGAATCGATCTTGGACTACGTTGGTCGCCGTCTCCTATGCAGTTGCTCACCGCTCCACGTGCGCCTGTTTGTGGCCTGCGATGGACAGCACCGAGGCTCGATTTTTCTGCAAAGGAAGCTTTTCGATGCGCGGCCCGTTTGTCTTTCATCTCAACCAGCAACCAGTTTCGCTTCGCCGTCAAAGATCGTTCCTGGAGCCTCCTCGTTCAAAATTCCTGGGCAAAGCCCGCTAAGCCACGAAGGAGCCCTGAAGAGCCCGCAAAGCAATCCAAACAGAATGCTCCCACGCAAAGTGTTTTCCTGTGATTCTGTGATCTTGCGACATGCCTCTCGTTGCCGACCGTCCTTTTTCAGGTGTGAAAGAACTCTATAAGCTGGTCTCTCGCACTGGGTGATGTAATCGATGTCAGCAAGCCTGTTTGCGCATGCCTGTCTCGACACGTACAAGGCGGCACATTGGTGAAAAGTCCAGTCCTGTCGTGCTGCCGCATGCCCCGAAGCATCAGGCCTCGGCATGCACAAGCTTTTACGTCTAGGTCGTTCCGCCCGGCTCGATATCTCGTCATGTCTCGATATGTCTACGCTGGGAGTTGTATGGCAAGAGCCCTTCCAAGACAGTGCGGCCCGGTAGCAGAGACAGCAGCGGCCTGGCAGAGGCTTCAACTCCGACTCCCAACACCCCCGCTACACTCCTAGAACGCTTCCCAACGTGTCGCAAAACTCCGGCTCGCTCACTCTCTGACTGTTCGGGCTGTCGGGCCGTGGACCGAAGCACGTATTCAGCTGAGCGGCTCGGACATCGCAGGAGCAGGTGCCATCTGTGGCACTGCCGGCATCTGAAAGATGTGCGGAACTCCGCAGGCAGAAGGTCGTGAAGTGGGATGGGGATTCTGCTTACAGTCTTCTCCCGATACGACGGTGCTCAAACTCCAACAGGCATAAACCGCTCCTTGCTTCCCTCATTCTCCTCCCTTCTCGTGGTTGAGTGCATCGACGGCCATAATCTTTCGTCTCCGTGTCAAACTTTCCCATCAAAGCTTCGGAGAACGAGGTTGTCTTTGCTGGCCCTGGCTCTCAAGCCCCTCCCTCCCTCCCTTCCTCCCTCTCTCTCTCTCTCTCTCTCTCTCTCTCTTTCTCTCTCTCTCTCTCTCTGTGCTTTGCTTTGCTCGGGGTTTCTCGCGGGAGCAGTCCTCCCGCCCCGCGCGAGTGCGCTACCCCACCCACTATTTTCAGTAGGTGGGCTCGGCTGTACACACTCAGTGGGTGCCCTGTTTTTCAGGGTGGTGGGCGGCTGCCCCGATGTGGGGACAACAAAGAGCCTAATTTGCGAACTAGGGCCCCCGCTCCACCTTCAGTGTCACTCTGTTGGGGTCCCCCGGCTTGTCAACAAGAGTACTTAGCGTAGCAGAGTAGGTACGTTTGCCGCGGGTGCCCCCACTCACGTGTACCCCTTGCATGTTTTCTGTACCCCGACCTTTCCCTGCCTAATCCCGAACGGAAGCCTTATCCCTGCACAGCACTGCCTGCGACCTTCCACTCAACCCTGAAGCCTCACAGGAAAAGGTGTCCCCCTCTCTTTGTTGCTCGTGTGAAAGAGGCGGGACGTTGGTTGTGAGACTAGTGGGGTCGCCCTGGGTTTCTGAGGTGCACCGGTAAGGACGTTGGTACGCTCGTAGACTAGAGGGGGTCTAAGGAACAACTGTTGGTGCTCCACTTTGCTCTACTGTACTGTAACCCACACCTACCTGCCTGACCCTGCCTGAACCCGAACGCAAGCCTTATCCCGCACTGCCTCCGACCTGCCACTCAACCCTGAACCTCTACTCCAGCTCTGGGCCGCGACAAGGTGTGCCCCAATCGTGCAGAAAACTGTGTAGGAGTAGAAGTACCTAGTCAAACAGGAAGGCGGGTGCACGATTGGGGTGTCCTCAGTCGTCGGCCAGTGCTGCTAAGAGTCTGCGTCTTCGGTGGCTCACTCTACTGGCTTCGCTCATATCGTCTTCAGGCGGGTGCCCCCAAGGCTGCTGAGGAGGTACTCCCGGTGTGCCCAGGTCGCTCTCTTCGTCTGGGTGTTCTCCGTGCACCGGCGATGGTGCGTGCCACGGCACTGTGGCGCTTTCCATGTCGTCCTGGGTCCACAGGGCACGGTGCTGTAGCTCCTCCTTGGGCTGGTTCCCCTCCACGGTCCTGCGCCTCGGTGTGGTCGTCGTCTAGTGCAGGCGTCGTCCAGGGAGCAGGTGCTCCTGGTGCTTGCTCCGGTTCTTGGCCTTCTTGTAGTAGGGCTCGCTCCTGTGGTAGTCCCGGGTCGTCTTCTGCTGGTGCCCGGGCGGGTCCTTCGTCTTGTGGTAGAACTCGTCGTTGGGGTAGTCCCGGGTCGGCTTCTGGAGCTGGTCCGCGAGCGTGGTCTGCAAGGGTGGTCGCCTCAGAGTCGTTGCTGTCCACCGGTACCACTTGGACGGGTGTCCCGAAAAACTGTGTTGACCATCTTGTCAAGTCGCGGATGGCTGTGCCCACCATTTCGTGCAGCTGTCCGTACAGGAAGGGCTGGAGGCGTCGCAGCGTGTACAGCGCTTGTAGTGGTAGTTCCGGTTGTTGGTCCCCCCTCTGGGGGGAGCTGGGTGCCCCACCAGCGTGTGCCACAACGTCAGCTTGGTGCGGCTCCTGGGTCCTCCTGGCCTTTTTTTGAGGCGAGTCACCCAGTTCTGCGGCCCTGTCCAGGTGCTGTTGTTCTTCACCTGGTTCCCCCCAGGCTTCCGCGTGCGCTGCGGAGGCTTCCTCGCACAGGTGTCTAGTCTGTCGTAGAAGTGGTCCGGCACCTGCTGTTGTCCCTCCGTGGCTTGGAGGACGTTCTGGAGCAGTTCCTCTGCCCTCTCGGCGTAGTCTTCTCCACGGTGCACGGCTCCCCAACTGCGTGCCTTCCTGTGCGAGTGGAAGCGCTGGGTGCCTTCTCTGAGGAGGCGGTCCACTTCTCTCAGGTCTTGTACTATCTCCGCTGTGGTGGTGTGGCTGCCGGTGGCTTCGACTGCAAACAGCAGGTCGAGCTGCAGCTGTAGGAGGTGTGCTGCGATGTGGTGTGGGTTCGGTGGTGGTGGATTTGTGCTCGCCGTCGGTGGTTGTGGCTGTGGTGGTGGAGCTTGGCTGCTGCTGGCGGGTGTCTGCTCAGCGTGTACCTCCTCCGGTTGTAGCGCAATGAGCGCTTGCTGCGCGTGCGCCTGTATCTCTCCTGGGTGTGTTGTGTCCACGGAGGAGGCATCTCCGTGCTTCTGCCATGGCTGCCGCTGCTTCGGCTGGGTTGGTGCCCGGTATCTTCTAGCGCCACGTTGCATGAGTTCCAGGTGAGGGGAGGGTCCGTGGCTCGGCCAGGAGGTTTCGCTCAGGTCTCCCGGGTCTTGCTCCGTTGCTTCCGGTGCCCCTGGTGGCGTAGGGCCTTGTGGGGGGTGAATGCCCGGTGGTAGCGAGCGGGCTCAGTCGCTGGTTGTGGTGGTGAAGGTGTGTCTTGCTGGTGCCCGGCTTGGTTCTGGCTGTCTGTGGCTGTGGCTGGTTCTCCTCCTGGCTGCTGTTTGTTGCGGCTGGTCTGCGACGTTGGTCTGCAGAGGAGGTGCCCCTGTTGCCGGTGTGTTGCTGGTGCTAGCTGTGGCTGTGGTGTCCGGCAAGTCTGTGGAGTGGAGAACCCGCCGAATCTGGCGAGGAACTCGTCTCGCCATGGATGCCATTGCCACTCCTGCCTCGACCAAACAAAAAGGAGAAGGAGGTGCTCCCCCTTTTAATACCTGAGGGCACTGAGGGCACCCTGGCTCGTGACCCTTGGCGCGTCCGCAACCCGGACATGCCAGGCCTCGGGTTCCCTGCGGTGCAGCCGTCCAAGTGGGCGCAGGAAAAACGCCGTTCCTAACCCGATGTATTGGTGCATCGTGGGTTCTCTCTGCGTCACGACCACTTGTGCTCCCGTGTGTCGCGGGATGGCTCCTGCTGTCGCCTGGTGGTGTTCTCGCTGTTGGCGCTCTTCGTGGAGGCGCTTGTGGCTGGCAGGTTGATGGTGGCGGCCGGCATGTCAAAGGTGGTAGCTGTGGCTGCGGCTGTTTGCCGCGGAGGCGGCTGTGGGTTGTGTGCTCGGTTGTGTGGGAGGCTGTGGTTGTGGGGGGTCACCCGCTGTTGCTCTAGCTGCCGCGGCGTCGGCTGCATGGGGGGGTGCCCTTTCTTGTTTGAGTCTGTCCCTGTACTGCTGTTCGGCTGCGGTGTGTTCCTTCATTGGCTATGGCGCATGTCTTCTTATGGTTCACGTAGAGGCCGTGCTCCGCAAAGAGCTTTTCGAGGATGTCGACCACTTGTTGGACGTGTCGGGGGTTTTCACCCCAAACATATATGTCGTCCATGTAGCCCGAGGTATGGTGTGGGGGCGGCGGCAGCTTGTCGTTGGGTCCCCACGCTCTGATGGTGACCTTGGACTGTGTCTGCAGGAGCGTGTCTCCAACCAAGGCGCTGAAGGCCACTGGAGAGTCTGGTCCTCCTTGTCGGACTCCATTGCTTTGGGTTATCTTGATGCTGGTGCCTCCGAACTGGATGTTCATCTCTGTGGCGTGTAGCAAAGACAACTATACACGCGCCTCCCACGGGTGCCCTAGTTCTCCAATGTGCTTTTGTACCAGGCGTCCCATACTGGTCTGGGTGGCGGAGTCGAAAACTTTTTTGACGTCGATCTTTATGATAAAGAAGGGTCCGCCCCAATCCCGGGCCATCCTCGCTATTTTGCGAATCACAAGCAGCATTTCGACAGATTGTCTGCCTTTTGCGCACCACTGCAGTTTGCAGACTGGGTCAAAGAGGTGTTGGGTGCGGTAGAGGACCAGCTGAGCAATCCACTTCAACATGGCCGACGACACCGTGATAGGCCGTGTGTCCGGCCAACCATCTGGTGCCCCAGTTTTGGGGAGGAGTACCGCCACTCCGTTCTCCAGCAACTCCGGGAGTGTGCCTCGGTAGAGGGCGTCGTTGATCACGTAGAGGATTCTATGCATCCACTTGTCGTCCTGCAGGAGGACGGAGAGGGCCTCGTGAATGATGCCATCGGGTCCCGCGGATTTCCTCCGCGGCCATCTGCCTTGGGTGACCTGGAGCTCGGCTAGCGTAAATGGGTGCTACGCCGTGGTTTTACAAAGGCGGGTCAGCTCTTGCCGCATGGTACCCATCTGCGAGGCGACGAATGCTGGGTCCTCCTTGCGAAAGATGCCTTCGAAGTGGTGCTTCATGGTGTCCTGCCAGTGCTCGTCGTCGAGAAGGTAGTGTTCCCATTCGCGGGTGCGAGCCATTTGTTTCTGTGCCCGGTAGGCTCGCCAATCCTTTTTGCTGGCGGCCTCGTTGAGCTTGGTGTGCCAGCGTTTGAGCTCCTGGCGGTGAAGGTTTTGTACCTCTTTCCAGGCGCGTCTTCTGTCGATGCCCGGCGGGATGGTTTGCGCTGCTCTCCGCTTCCGAATGAGGTCGGCACTCTCGTCGAACTTGTCCATTGCTCTGCCCGGGTTGGTCATGTCCCTGCAGATTGCTGCAATGGCGTGGTGCTGGTCCCCTGGAAGTAGCTCTTGGCCAGGCAGGTGTCAAAGTTTTTTGAGAGGTGCCTGGGCCCCCATTGCTTGTGGTAGGCTTTTCCAGCGGTGGCATGTGGGAGAGTGCCAATGATGGGATCGTGATCAGAGTGTGCTCGGTCTCGATGTTCTCCCACGTGTACTTCTTGAAGGTGTATTCCCTTTATGGCCAGGTAGTCCAGTCGGCGGGGGCATTGGCCCGAGTAGGGAACATGTGATGGCTTGTGTAGTTGTTGTTGTTCAGGGAACTTGCAAAGGATGCCAGCGATCCAGTCAAGGATGATGTCTCCCCTTCCCGAGGTGCCGTTGGGGAAGGCTGGTGCGGTGTCGCTGTAGGAGAAGACCTCGTTGGCGTCCAGGCCGATGATTATCTTGTGTTGCCGCAAGGCTTCGCATTGTAGCCAGTCCGCCAGGATCGTAGATGTTTCATCCATGGTGGCGTGGTGCGGCACGTGGCCGCAAAGTACTCCCCATGTGTGTGCGCCGCCGGTGAGAACGACAGAGCTGCCTCTTGGGTGGATGGTGGCTTTGTGGTGGGTGTAGTCTTTAAAAGCAATGGCGGTATCTCTCCACTCTCCGGCCTTTTTTCCGCTAACCAAAGTCCATGTGCCATCGTCCTCAAAGAAGATGCCCACCTCCACGATTATTTCTTGGAGTAGGACCACGGTCAGCTGGCAGAGTGGCGGGTTGCCCGCAGAAAAGGATGTGTGCCCCTTGAAGGCCTTCAGGAATTCCATCACCTTAGGTGGCGTCATTCCCCCAACGTTCCAAGTGGCAACCAGTGCATGCCCCTTGGTATCTTTGGTCTCCAGGTGGTGAGACGGGTCGCCCATGTTCTGGGCTTCTGCCGCGAATCACTTGAGTACACTGGCCAGCTGGCGCCAGTGGTTTTTGACCGCCTCCAGGTTGTGGTGGATCTTGTGGGCAATGGTGCGCAGGTCGATCCACCCTTGTGTGCCGGTCGTTGTGGAGTCTGCTGGTGCGCCCGCGTTTGTTGCTGATGCCACTCTGGTCGACTTGTACCACACCTGTCCCGTCGAGTACTCTGTGTCCACGTCCTGTGCCAAGGCGCCCAGCTCCATGAGGAGCCGTTTGCATTTGGCTGCAACTTGTACCCTGCGTCTCTTCTCGGGTGGCTGCGAGACGTTGAGCCAGAGTTTGGCTGGTGCTCCATCTTGGCGGGTGCCAACTGTAATGTTGGCATTCTTGACGTGGCGGATGCAATTTTGCACCCGGGATCTTTGCTCCGCTTCTGTCTCGTTGTCCTTCTTGTGCAGCGGAATGATGCAGTATCCTCGTCGGACACCGGGTACGAAGACGTCTTTGCAATCAAGGTCCAGGCGCAATGTGTCCACCAATTTGGTCACTTGTTCCACCACCTTCTCTGCCTCGGTGTCTGGAAGCCCCCCATGATGAGGGCGGGTGCCCTGGGTGGTTCTCCTGAGTGCAACGTGGTTCCAGCTTGTTCCAGCCTGGTGATCCTGGCTTCAATGCTCTCCATTTTGTCCTGGACCTGGCACCTTCTCCTTGTTTGCCTCTGTGTCTGTGGCGATGGTGTGGATCCTGAGGGTGGCCTCGGCAAGCTGCGTCTGAAAATTTTGCTCAAATGTGCCCACTCTCTCGTTCATCTGGCCCACTGCTAGGGAGAGTTCCCCCCGAAACAGGTCGCGAAGGGCTTCCAAGGTAACCCCATTGTTGGCGTCGGTCCTGCCACGCTTGGGAGGGCTCATGTCCAAGAGGTCCAGGCCATCCCCCGTGGCTGTGGATGCCCCCGGCGAGGTCGGGTCCAGATTCATAGGCATGCCGGCTCCTGTTGCAGGGGTTGGTCCTGCAATGCTCCCTCCTGGCACGGGTGCGCCTGCCATCATAGGTGTCGAATGCATTCTCGGCGGCGATGCCCAAGTCACGAACACTGAGGTCAGGTAAAGGATCACCCAGCGGAGAGGAGCGGGTGCACCGACGGGGCTGGGTACAGCACCTGTAGGGTCGCCGAATGCGGTCAGGTAGTGGGTCAGCAAGTCCCTAAGGGTCACGACAGCAGCGGTTGCCCCCGGGCTGCGATGCACACCTATCTCCTCCGTTGAAGCGGTGTGCTTCTTCAGGGGTGTAGGTGCCCTCGTTCTCGTACAGCAATGGCGTGGCAGAGCGCTCAGGTACGGAGGAGACGCCCGGGTTTTGACTCAGGGGGGTGGCAAAGACAGAGGAGAGAGAGGTGCAAAGGCTGTGCCCCCCACAAAGTCTCGAACCACTCGCGGCCTTGAGCCAAAATGGCTCTCTCTCTCTCTCTCTCTTCTCTCTCTCTCTCTCTCTCTCTCTCTCTCTCTCTCTCTCTCTCTCGTGCTTGCACTCGGGCAGAAGGGGTCACCCCCCTCGCGCGCACGCGCGAACCGGTCTTCGCGTCCAGCCGTGAATCACCCAGGTTTGTGGACGGAGGCTCTGTGCAGCACCGTTATACCCATGACCCCCTTTTACACTATGTGGACCGTGTACCCCCGCCTCGTCAACGTTCCGTCTGGGCACTGTTTGGGAACACTGAACTAGGGCACGCGCCGCCGTCTGTGCTTCGGCTGGCTTTCTTGCCCCCCGCTTGGCAGGCGCAACCGTTCACTGGCAGGTGCTGTACCCCCCAGCTCGTCGCAAAACGAAGTCAAAAACTGGAGTGTCTGAGGTCCGGGCCAAGCGGCACAAACTGCACTACATGTTACACTCCTGAACCAGCACTCTGCAACTCTAGCAACTGCTCCACTCCGCTGGGCCTCGGCCTTCTACTCGTGGGGTCCCGCACTGTCTACCGCACAACACACAAACGCACAACTACCTGTAACACGTTACGTGCCTATCATGGTCCTGTTGCCCCTGCGGTCCCCCTTACTACTATGCTGGGCTTCCTCAGTACATCAGCTCGTTGTTGGATTTCACTCCCCCGGGTGAAAAAAGCCGCCCTGCCCATCGTACATGGCAACGTGCATTCTGCGGCGACGGTGGCTGGTTGCACGCTCCAGCCCCCTCTCTCGGCCCATGGCCCCTCCAGCGGCTGCCTGCGGGTCCCCGTCCGACTCTGGGTTCATTTCCCCCATGGCTGCCAGCATAGCCTGTTCTCGGGCCTCCTTCCACTTGGCGTTCATAGGCATCCATCGCTGCTATCAAGTCATCGTCGGTGGGCGCCCATTGGCTGTCCTCTGGCTGCGTGGGTTCATGGTCCCCCGGCTCGGTCCCCGAGGAAGGGATGCTGCCCGGCCACTGTTCCATTCCCACGGGAGGCTTCGGTTGGAAGAGAGACTGGCTGCCTTCCCCCTCCTCTGTGGTTTGCGTGTCCACTGTCACAGGAGTTTCCAAGGCTCCCGTCACCAGCGCCAGGCACATCCGGAGTTGCTCCCCGCCATTTGTCAGGAACGGCGCCACTCCCCTAAAGTCTCGCAGGACCTGCTCTGCTTGTTGTCGGTGGTCCCCTTGGCGTGGCGGTGACTCCTCCAAGGCCCCCTCGTTCAGTGCCGCCTCGCTCTCTCTCTCTCTCTCTCTCTCTCTCTCCCGGGCTTGGGGACGGGTCAGCGCCCCCGGGCATCATGCCCACCCGTCGTGTTGACGGACGTGGGGGGTGAAAAAGAACGGCAAACCTTCTCTCTCTCTCTCTCTCTCTCTCTCTCTCTCTCTCTCTCTCTGTCTCTCTCTCTGTCTCTTTTTCTCTCTCCCGGGCAGGTCAGCGCCCCCGGGCTTCAGAGCCCAGCTGAGGGGGTGAGAAACGAGCGTAATTCGTCTGAAGGCTAAAGCCATAAAGTATGCAATATCGGAAAGATGACGAATGTACGCGCTCATGTTGCTCCCTCTCTCTCTATCTCTCTCTCGCTCTCTTTCTCCCTTTCTTTCTGTCTTTCTCTCAGCATCCTCGGTGGCCGGATTTGAAAGACCACATCCCCGCTCCTCTTCAAACCAAATCTGGTCCTCCACATCGCCACCTACACCACTACCACATGCCTTCCGCAAGCTTAGCAAGTTCCCCCACACATGACTTCAGGACATAACGATGCGAAGGTCCTAGACTTAGTCCTCCCCAGTGCTCCAGGACACGGACCATCCGCGCTCCCTTCGATGATCGATCAGCCTGCTGGCAGGCGTTTGGTCTTTCCCCTGTGCATGCCCTGTGCGTTGCACAGGTCTTCTGGGACCAACAAAACTCGAGTAGAGGTGAAGGGAAAGGAGTTAACCTCAAGCTCGAGCTCGGAAGACCAGACATCCAAGGCTTTCAAGGCCACAAGATGACCCCCAGGGCCCAGCGCGTCACCTTGTGGACCGGGCGATGCTGCAGGCCAGAGCTTTGCCTGGGACGCGGCTTTCCTATCGAAATGCCGCAACTCCAAAGTAGCCCACCCCAAGCAGAAGCACCGAAGCCAAGGAAATTCGGCGTGACGGGCGGCTCATTGGCGATGAGACCAGGCACGTCCTCTTCCTGACACTACGCAGGCGGGCAGGCACTCACAACAGCTGGAAGCAAGTATGAAGAATCCTAGAAGAGCTCAAAAGCTCTGGTGCTGCAGCCCTCAGGCGACAGTGGGTCCTTGAGGAAACCCTGCATCAGCAGCAGCTTCGCCTCAGGGGACCCGACATTGTCAACGTGATATTCCGACACGCTTCAATATTTACGGCAGCCGGCGAGGTGAATGGTCTCGGACTCGTCCAGGAGGGCCAGGAGCTGGTCAGCTAGCTGCCCCATGGCCTGCAGGTTCCGAGAACTTGCGAAGCTACGCCACGCTGCCCCGGATGCAGTACTAAACCACAACCGCTAGGGGAGTTCCCAGCTTTAACCAAAAGACCCATAGAACATGTATGTGAAGAAGGCTTCAACAAAGAACATCCCCTAAGCACAGACAGTTCCAAGGCTTTGCATGATTCACTTCTGAAGCCTTCAACCTGCAACACAATCGTCCTTGCCCGTCCTCGTCCTCATACTCTGACCTCAGACCATTTGAGGTAATGTAGGGTTGTATTTGCAGTGTCGCCATATCGAACTGGCAAATTCTGAAACTGTTCTTGCCCAGCACCAGAAGCTACATTTTTGTAATTGCAGCACCCCGTTGCCCCATGCCACGACTGACAGCCGCACACATCAGCACACACTTTGGCTTGACAGGGAATGCAACGAGCGACTCATAGTACTCGACGACAGATTGAGGCACATCCGCATAACAGTGTAGAAGCCAGAGCTTCCTTCGGTCGTCATCCTTTAGGCCGACTTGCTGCAACAACATCATTTTGGGGTGCATTTGGGCGGCCCCGCGCATGCTAAACACCGAGCGAGCGACAGGACACTGGCCCCGGGCCAGAATGCCGGCACTGCCGGGCACGCCGCTGGCAGAGGCACAAGCGGCATGGGCGGCTGCGGCGTGGCAGCAAGACCTGGGGAGAGCTCCCCACCGTAAGCGGTGCACTTATGTTGGCTGTGACCATTGCTTCCGTTCGCAGTTGAGCCTCTTAAGCCGAGTCCCGGCCTGGAGGGGGCGACAGTGCTGCCGTGGTGTAGGACAACACTGCCTGTGCAAGCTACATTGCCGAGTGTTGAAGTGAATCCACGTATCCCCCCCTTCTGCTGGGGTTATGAAGATGGCTCCTGAAGATAAGCTCAAATTGTCCACATGGATTTCTGAATAAAGAGCGGGTGTCGCCGGCTCAAGCTGATTCGAACCCCCAGCTAGTGTTTGTGGAATCCCGAACGACTTTATTTAGAAAAGCGCAGCGAAACCAAAAGTCATGATGAGACTTGCCCAGAGCAGAGCCTCGAAACAATGAACTCTGATTTCCAAAACCTTGTCCCAGGTTGCCGAAAAGCAGAAATTTGTGGATGCAGAGCAAAGCCCAGGGATATCCAAATGGCGAGGGCCTGTGGAGCAGTCGGCTGGGCTGGCACTAAACCATCCTGAGCGCATGTGTTGCTGTCTTGCTTCTCATGGAGCTTGACAGCTTGACCATAGGGTCATCTCGTAGTGACACACTGCTGCCTGCAGTTCTGCGATGTCTGGACTACTGTACCGAGCGCATCTTTGGACACCACAAGAGATCACAAGCCAGCAACATACTTGCCGAGCAAGTCTCAAGTTCAAGTGGTGTCTTCTGACATTCCGTTGCCGCGACGGTAACAAGTCCTGCAAAGCTGTGGGACTGCAACGCTTGAAACTCGGAACCCTGGCTCGTGAGTCTCCAGAGCGATACAGATCACAGCAATGCTATGGAGCAATCAATCACCACCCCTTCTTGCTGCATCTGAACGCTCACGACTGCATGCTCAAGAGAGTGACCCAAAGTCCTGGCATGACCGGACCTGGGATGCCTGGGAGACAAGTTCAGCACTTTGTCGCGCTCAGGAGGCGGGAAGCGAGGGTCCAGGTAGCGAGGAAACTACAAAGCACGGCGGGAGCGCGATGCGCAAGCTACAACGTAAGTCAAGCAAAGTCGATTAGAGCATGGAGAGCGCAGAGCAGAGAGTATAGAGAGTCGAGAACACTAGAGTCTAGAACGATAACAAAGTTCGTGCTGTCGTACGTATTTACGTATGCAGGCATGCATGTATGCATGTATGCATGTGTGCAGGTGCATACGTGTCTCAAAGAACTCAAAGCTCTTTGGGTCCCTTGTCGGACAGGATACTAGCATTGGACGCTTGCGGCATGCTGCGCCTGGGAGCTGCCCGACCTGAGCCAGCCGATGCCCGTTTGCACGCATCACCGTGGCATGCTATTTGGGCATTGCCAAAGGCATCTGAAATCTGAAGCTTTAGGCGACTTGCAACCCGAATCATTTTCTGGCGGGCCCGAGACTCAACCTTGAAGCATCTACCGTGCTTCAAACCGGGCTAGCCACGCTTCGGGGTAGCGGCCCCAACGGGGCTTGGCCGCTCCTCACGGTAAGAAAATGAGATAGCCTATCCAAGCTGAATCTCTGGCTTCAACCAGGTGCGACTGGATTTTTGGAGCAGTCAACCATGCAATGCCGATGGCATGGCTGCAAAGCACATGTTGTCGACATCCGAAAAATCCCTCCGGACAGCTGTCTGAAAGCGGGGATCCCACTCGGCGTCCTGACGCCTCGGGCCTTGGCTTCGGCTCGCCATCTGACAAGCCACGGTGCAAGTACAAGCCATCAATACATCCGCCGAAGCGGACGGTCGGAAAGAAAAGCACAAGTGTCAAAGTCCACACCGGATGTGATGGTTTCAAGCGGCTTCATCGATGTGATCACCCGAGCAATGACAGACAGCACTAATGCGTCAGGAAGCCGAACTACAAGCTCGAAAGAAGGCCTCAGCGTGGGTGCTGCACCTGCATTTGCAACGTGTGTCCAACGCGTCTCTTTCTTTGGCTTGCTAGTGTTTCTCTCCCTCTGCCATGTCATAAGTTTCTCTGTGCAGTGTCGCAGAAGTTCCAAGACAGATGGACAGATGCACCTACCCGCCTTCTGCAGCTGCTGGAGACGCAATGGGAGAGAAGGAACCACACGAACAACGTGCTGAGTCCCCGTGCTGCGGAACAAGACAGCACGCAGCATATGCATCTATGCGGATCAAACCCTCCCGAAAACCTGCAGATCAGTCAAAAGTCAAAAAGTGCTGCTAGCTGCTAATTCATTCGAGTAGCTGTGGTCGCTACATGTCGCTACCCTGAGCTTTCCGGAGGTCTTGAAAGCTACTACCGCATGCCTGTGGGCTACAACACAGTGCATACACAAGAAACCCGGAAACTCGTGTGAAACGCGTGCTTGCTTGAAGCTGGGCCGGGCTGTCATCTCTCGGCCACTACTCCAGAAGTTCGATTTTGCAGCTGCACATGTGCACTGCAAAAAGTCGGAAACTGGTGATAATGGGTAAATTTTGACGGAAGCAGAACCAGACCAGACCGATCCTGCGACATTCTTCAAATACTCGGTACCCCGGTACCCATGCTGCAACATAGCTTTTCCAAAGCCTGCCGACATATGTCCCACGACTGAGGCTGAGGGTCCACGCACGACCGATGCTCTCCGTCAAGTCGACTTCGTCCACCTCCAGTCCGTGCAGACGCTAGGATGTATCGAAATCTAAATGCCTGCCACAAAGATCCACCAAGGACTTGACTGGTGGTAATCCTTAACACTGACACCATCCGAGAATGCTGAAGCTTCAGGCTTAGGGTTCACTTGTTTGCAACTCCAACTTGGGAGCTCTGACACGAAGCAACCCAAGTGCATCGGTTGTTACACTTCCGTGGCAATAGAGCCATAGAGATCTAGCTATTCAGTCATGTCTTGATCATGCTGTGTTGTTCCGCCAAGATCGCCAAGGATCACTAATAAGGGGACAAAGGCTGTTTCGGCTGAGCTTCGGAGTCCAACTGTCAATTACTCTCGCGGCGGCTGAGGCAAAAGAAGCACCTGCAGTCACGACAACTTACAACTAGAACACCTCTCTCCCAACGTTTAGGAGTTTAGGAGCTGAAGAGTCGAATCATCGAGTACTGTATTTCTGTCAAGCTCGCAAGCTCCAGGTTCGGAACTATCTTGGTGACGGCCTACCCATCTCATTCCAAAGAAACAGCAGCAAATACGCCAAAACAAGCGCTCGACTGATGGGCTTGGGGCAGAGGGACCAGCATCTTTCCCACGGTCGCTGCACCGTCCAAAGAACCACCTGGGCAAGTGGGATGCTCAGCAGTGTACCAGCCGTCCACAAAGCAAGGGCCACGAGACGTGGAGAATCATCTGAAAGGTGCAGATGTGAGCCCGGTAACTGCACGAAGAACCAAGGCAAAGTCGTTTTCTCGCACCTCTCCAACAAAAAGAAGACGGTCAGGTGCAAGGTAAGGATTCCCAAAGCTAGAGGAGACAGTTTGCCCACCGTCCACTTGAGCACTCCAGGCATCGCAAAAGGTGGCTGGAGACAAAACATGAGAACCCCCAAATGAAACCAGAAGCCACCCCAGAAGAACAGCGAGCCGGACTCGGTGCAAGCTGGCTGCCACCACGGGGGAACGTCTCCCGCAGGAATATGAGGCACGCAGCCGACCCAACCAAAACTGCAAAGCAAAGCTGCACCAGAGGACCAGACCCAGGGATGTCGAGCAGCCCATTCTTGCAATTGCCTCCTTCGTAGCAGAACTGCATACACCAACAAAGCCATCGGCAAACGATAAGCCCAGAACTGGTAGTAGAGATTTTCCTCGAAATGCTGAGACATGGTGACGCACACACAAACAAGAGCAGTCACCACTGTACCAAGGATGGGCGATGAGAAGTGGCTCAGCATGTGTAGAGCCCTGAGAGCCAGCCAAACCTTGAGATCGACAGAAAGCTGCCAGTGATGTGAAAAGGTAAGGGATCTGATAAGTATCTCTGTAGACCAACTTGAATCAATGTATCTGCAGGATTCGAAATGGGGACATAGACCAGCAGTCCATACTCGTGATCGCACCATGATGAAGCTGAGAGGTAACTGTCGACCCAGCTTTCGCCACAGCGTGTCTGCACTTCCAAGCAAACTTTCCGAATCAACTTTCGTCACCAGAACTGCCAAGACACCGAAGATATCAGCAAAGCGGTGTACATAAAACCAAACTACTCGACGCTTGTTCATTTCAGGATTGTTGGTGACAAAAACGATGTTTAAGTGAAGCAGAACAATTGAAGCCGTGCCAACCATCCGAGCCCCATCAACCGAATCAACCTCCGTCCTTTTCACTTTGTCCTTCACAGCTGCTGCACGTCGCAAGGACCAAGCGAGTGTGAATGTCAGCCATGGAATAAGCATCACTGCGACGTCAACGATGAGAGCGGTCGTGTCGAAAGTGTGGCGCAAGTCCAGCTGCGCAACTCGGCCATGGTGAACCTTAACCCATTGCAGAGCGAAGGCAGCCGCTGAAATTGCTGCTTCTTCCATTCTTGGAAGGCACAGGATGTTCACCTCTGCATTCTCAAAGAAGCTGTTTGACCCCTGCGACATAGCGACAAATGTGCCTCCATGCCGCGTGCACCCGTCGATGTCTTCGCAACTCAGGGAGGCTCGGTCCCGGAGCATGGACGTGCAATGCTCACATTTGTAGAACTCCTTGGCACTGTGTGTCGCGGCTGTGAAAGTTCAACGTGTATGGATGGCTGCAGAACTTCACACTCTGAAGTCCTAAACATGCAGCACACGTGAAGACCCTGATGATCGACTGCGCAGCAGTGTTCTAAATCCAACAACCAAAGAAGCCCATCATGTCACCACCATAAGGAAAGGTTACCAAGGCTCGCGTAGGACTGCAACCTGAGGATTAATGCCCAAGCAGCATCTTTTGTAGGTATATACATGATCCCAACATGCTGGGTCTCCTCCTGGAGAACAGCAACGATCGGAGCTGAATTCCGGTGACCAGCAACCTGGATCAAACTCGTGGCGCAGCAAATCCTCTGATTGCTGAAGATAGCCTCGCACGGTCTGGTCAACAAATCCTCCGCCACAGTAGACGGGCTCGGAATGCACAGGCAGGTCTAATTCCGGTCGGGCAACCACATCCAAGACAGACTCCTCAAGCAAAGCAGAGAGAGAAGAAACCAGCTTGGCATGTCTCTTGCAGCAGTTCTCATAGCGGTTTCCTCCTTGCCAACAGACGTCATCTTCCGCCAGGGCATTGCAGCATCTCCTCTCCATTTCAAGGTTGCCCTTCCAGCATGTCTCTTGTTCTTCCTTTGTCGAGCAACATCTCTCATACGTGTACTCACCATCCCAACATGCAGGATTTCCTTGCGGGGCGCCACAGCAGTCTTCCTCGGTGAAGCCCAGAGTCCAACAGCTCGAAGCAGAAGCGGTGGGCTGAAGGCAGCACGTCTCCTTCTCCAGGCTTCTGGGGGAGTCAAAGCTATCCTACTGGGCTTATGCAGGGATCGAAACTGCTATAAAACATCTGGATAGAGCAGCAGAAGGCAAAGGACTGATTACTGAAAAGCTGTGTCTCGTAGGTGTAGATACCATCCCAGCATGCAGGATTCCCGAGAACGCCGGCAAAGGCCGTACGACAACAAAAGTCTTCTGTGAGCTCACCGTCCCAGCAGTCGAGCCCAAGGCAGCAGCCAAAGCCGAGTACCAGACCCAAAGTGGCTTGTGACTGAAGTGCCATTGCCAGTAATTCAGCTTGCCGCAACTGCTCTGATTTGTTTCCGGGAATGACTTGATGTGCATACTTACCAGGTCAAGCACCTGCAAACTTCGCGAAAAAAACAGACATGTTAGACATCCCACAAAGCTCTGTGCAGGCTACAATCCCTGGGGTCATGGAGACAGAACATGTGACAGGGCCAATTCTAAACTCCGATTCCCATAGGGTGGTGGCAATGAGCAAAGTTTCGTGAAAGTACAGATACCCTGAAGGGAATCCTGCTTCGTGTTTGCTCAAGAGCGCGGAGAAGTCGGAGAATTACAATTTGACGGAAAGCCGGCGGTTTCCGTCCCCTTTGTTTACTGCTGGTCTTCTATACAGGCCTAAACAATTATTTTTTAGGTCTTCGACGCTACTGTGTTGGTTGTTTATCAAAGAACCCTCAGCAATAACGTTACTGGCTCTCCAGACGCTTGTACAACCCAAGACGGTGCAGCGCAGCTGGAATACCACGAGCTCTGATTTCGGAACGATTCGGTTGTGGTGGGATTCATTACAGGTTTTCAACTTAAAAGTTGGGTTGCCAGGTTAAGGATTCAGCAGCTTCAGGGTTGAACGGCAGAAAATCGAAAAACGCTTGAAGAAGGCCGGAAAAGGTGCCAGATCGAGAATTTCGACACCCGAAAGTCTCATTCCTCAATCCTTTTACACCCCACCACCCATCCTAAACTACTTCTACATTGCATTGGGGACAACGGAAACGAAGCAGGTGAAGAATCACAAAATCCAGAAAGCCTGGATCCCAAGCCCTACTTCCAAAATCCTGAACTCGAGACACATGCGACGGCGGTGCCTGCCGTCCGGAACTTCGGCGTAGTTGCAACACACGTTGCTGTATGTGGCAAGCTGGAGCTCGTCGTGAACAAGTACAAACCCCACTTGACCAAAATGAACAAGGCGTAGTTCATGAATGTTGTGATGGCAGGTGACTCAGAAGGCCGCAAATCTAGCAATGTTCTGCGTCTACCACTGTGTTATGAGCTGGATCGTTGATGCGCAGCTCTGTCGATTGAGCAACGGCTAGTGTTTCCTCGCCTGGACTCACAAATCAAGCCACCCATCACCGCAAAGGCGTGTGAACGCCTGGCGTCCTCAAAACGACTGCGTGTTCCTCAAGAGCTCGCGAGTCTGACTATGGTGCGAGGCTTGCAAGGTCTTAACCTTGGCTGTGAACGTGGCAAATGCCACTTTGGATTTGATTGATGTGAACTTGGAAATTTGAAGAATAGACACTCACCGGCTTCTACCATGTTGTGGCCCATCGACTTGTTGAACTGTTGGACACGACTCGGTGCCGAAGTATCTTCCTTCATGGCGGACACGCTCACTGTTCTTCTGCATGGCCGGTTTCGATTCTCGCGGAAGCAGTTTGCATTCAGAAAGCCGGTTCCTCCGTAATCACGCCGTGATCGCGCTTCTTCAAACCGCCCTAAACGAGCAAGCGTGCTCTGGCGGCCTCGAAACTGGTGGCGATGGCCCGGGCTCACACATTCGAACGCACTTGCCAGAATACCCGCCGGCTGCAGCTGGGGCTGCGATGTAAAAGCAAGACCAGACTGGTTAGCAAAAGGGAATGTACAGACGTCCGCGATGATGCAGCGGGTGCGTAATCATTTCCAGACAAACTTCTGCTGGGCCGGCGGCAGGGTTGGAGGTTGGGTTAACCCCAACTTGTAACCCCAGGGCCAGGCCGGGTTGACCAGAACTCCAACCCCGGGTTAAGGTTCGGATTCACCCCATTATCCTTTATGTAAAAAAAAGTATAAACAGGAAAACTGCACATAAATGATAATCCAGTCCAATATCAATATACATTCAAACAATAAAGAGAAGAAGCAGCGCTCTTTCTTTTACATGGTGGGAAGCGCGGAAGAGTCCAGTGCCGTGGCCCCAGTAGAGGAGGCACAGAACTCGGAGAGCACACGGCTCACAGAAGAGTGATGCCTGAGGAAATCAGGCAGCAGGTAGGAGCCTCTCGAAGGCGCGTCTGCAGGGTTGCTCGCACTGCACACTCTTTCAAACCAAACGTTCAAGCTGCGATCCTCCTCCAGATCGAAAAGACGGTTTGGAGCACACTGAACAAAAGGACAATCGGAACTTCCGCCTTCATTGTCCGTGAAAAGAACAATGTCGCACTGCCTTAAAGTGGACAGCAAGAGCTCGCAACCAAGAACAGCCGCCAAGGCTTCAAGCTCGTAGATGAGGGTTTTCTTTCCTTCTGGATTGATGCCTTGAAGAACAACCTGGGAAACATGCTCGCCGAACCAGCCTATGCACAGGCCAGTAAAGTCGTAAGCGATGCCACCTAAACCGCCGCCTGATGATGATGCATCGTAAGAGGCATCACTGTACATGCGGTACACGGGCCTGAAGTCAGCATGCGCCACACGGGGCTTGCCAAGGACGACTCGCTCACGAAGGAAAGTCAAGCTCTCCTTGAGCTGGGCACCAAGCTTAACACAGCTCTGACAAAGACAATACTTGAGAGCACACGCAAATGGCAGGAAGCAGCTCTCCCATAGAACTGGCTGTATGCGAAGAGTAGCCGACCCCTCAGGGACATCAACTAGGTGTACTCGCTTGTGAGCTTCAGTGTTGTGAACAGTGACAAGACCAGCGTGAGAATCTGCTAAAGAAATCTGGACACCCAAAACTTTAGGGAAGGTGTTAAACCCACATTCCTTTTCAGCTGAAATCACCCACCCCACAATCGAAAAGAAAGATGACTGAACCAAGTCCATGTGTGCGGCAACACAAAGTCATCGAAGTAGCGAGTCCAACGGAGAACCAAAGCTTTGGTTCCTATGTACCATAAGCTGTATGCTGCCCGGTAAAAGCCCTGAACTGCGGGCCTAGAGGACTAAGGACCGATACAGTTCGACCTTTTCGGTTTCGGGATTCAGGACCGCAATGTAAGAGTCGCGAAGAGCGGCTTCGCTCAAGGGTAGCTGCTTGTAAACTTTCCTCAAGTCGACGGTGCGAATCACTAACTTTCCAGCTTTGCCCTCTTCGCGAGCACTATGTCCACGCCGTTGAGACATATCGTCTCAGCCGAACTGTTTGTCAAGTTCGCCATCGACTCCGTGAAGTCGTCTATGGGCCTGATCTTACGCACGGGCCCCAACTTGGCATCAGTGCTCGATTGAGAAACCCCTAACCTTCCGGCCAAGAAGCGCAGCTCGAGTCTTGGTGTAGACCCTTACTGCAGCCGGACTGTACATTAAGCAAAGGTATTCATGCCAGCACCTTTACCGCTGGGTGACCCATCTCTAGCGATCCCACCCTAAAAAGAAGCTACAGCAACGCTCCAAGAGAGACCCAGATTGCTCTAGGCATTGCAGCTATGTTGGCCTTGGCGGCAGAGGAACCCACGGTCTGATCCGCAGTGAGCTTGGCTTGTACGAACTTGGACCGTTAGACCGGCAACGCATGATGCTTCAGGCCGCAAGGCAAGGTGTCCCTGGGAGCCCTCAACAACGCACGCTTGATCGATCCCCCTTCGCCGAAGGCAGACAGACACCACGCAGCTGAGAGGTTCACCCAACTCGCCAGACCAGCTCGAAAGAAGCATAAGCGAGATCTTTCCCCTGCTAATCAAATCGGAATGTCCTAGGCTCGTAAGAGCCAACAAGCCAACCCCGGTAAGCTCTTCCCAGACAACCGGTGCACGGCCTTGGAGATGTCCCGTCAGCACAATCGCTGCTTTAAGAGTGCCTTTGCGGATCATTGGCGTGGGTGCAGAGAAAGTTTGTCGAAAAGAAAACAGTGTTTTCTCTGCGTGCTGTGAACACCAGACAACCTTTGCCGTTTGCCGTGCAGCTTTGGAATGGTGCGGCGGTACTTTGCAACGGTACTTTGCAACGAGGACTCAGCGATAGTATCCCTCTTCTCGACTGAAAGCCAGTGTGTATGGATGCTGTGATGCATTATTCAATAGACCAGGCTCTGCAGTCGCTCCACCACCATTTGCATAGAGGCGAGACCCTCCTGCAGGCGCGAGTTGATCCTCCACGCAGAAGCGACAGATAACCCTCGGAAGGATCCTCAGTCTGTCCGAGCTTGATGACGTGTCCTGGGAGGGACGGTGCCACGAGGCTGAAACGGCAAGTCAGTCAGGGCTGTACTGTGACAGCCAAAAAGGGGGCAGCCTTAGCTTCCTTGTTTCAAGGAGCTCTTCAGGTTAGGTCCTACTCTCAAGGACCCCCGACCTCCCAGTCCTTGCTGGTGAGGTTTGCGGAGGAAAACTACTTCAGGTCCTATAAGCTCTAGGTCCTCCCTCCCAACCATTGCCGGTGAGGTTGAAGCAGCTCAGTTTTCCTTCCTGTAGGCTCTTTCCCTCCCGATAACCGGAGAGGTTTTAGGAAGCCAGCCGCTGCCCAGGGAGTGCCTCCTCCCTATTGGCCCCCAGGGACTGGCGGGCTCTTTAGGCAAAGGAGTTGCCAATCCTTGCTTGAAAGCGCCGATGCCTTGGAGGTGCAGATGCATGTTTCGCCATTCGGTGAGGTAACAGCACCCTTTGCTGGTGGAGTGAAGCCACCACCCATTGACCTGAGTCAGTGGTTTGGAGCTTCTCCACCAGCCCTTTGGCCAGCACCACATGGTCCTGATGGTATGCCTCCACCAGGCGGCGGAGCCAATAGGTGGTATCTGGGTCCACCTTTTCAATCCAGTTCGACCAGGACTTTACATGGCGGCGGGGAGGGAATGCGACCGCCTTCTCTTCTTGACGCCAGTCGGCCCCATCCAGTACCACCAATTCCTCAATGCATCCGTCAGCGGAAAAAGGCCTCACTCCCCAATTGTGTCTGTTGAGGTCCCTCGTAAAAACTCCCGCCCCAGAAAAGGCCAAAATTACACAGGCCATGTGAAGGATTCGGCTAGAGGAGGGCTCCGCCGGCATGGGATGGAGTTTCTCCATCTCCAGCAATTGGGCGCGGAGGCCCCCCCATTGACGGATGGTCAACCATGCCCAGCCCTCTTGTTGGGTTGACCTTCCGGTCACCATAACCGGCCAGCGAGGGACTTTGGCCGAAAGGCTGTCTGAACCAGACCCCCGATGACCGGTGGGTCTGCTTCAGGGTGGGTCGTACCCCCCGTCTCCGCTGATGCCCGAGTCGGCGTTACGCTTGGGGCTGCTTGCCGAGCTGGAAGAGCTCTCTGCCTTTACCCCTGTGGGCCTGACCCCCTTGAGAGGCAGGGTCGCGGCTCCCCTGGCAGGGCCGGTGCGACAGAGCTGGAGCCGGCCTTCTCCTCTGTTCTCGGTTCTGGGCCACCCGAAATTCTGCTTCGCCCTTCACTCGAGGTTTGCTCCGAGCTGTCCGCTTCGTGGCTTGGAAGGGGCCGCCTGAGCCTGCCGCTCCACCCCCCGGTTTACCGGTGGGGATCCAACTCCCCGGTTTAACGGTGGGGATGGTGTTCTTGATCGTCGCGTATGGTCAGCATGGCTGGTGGAACATCCTCAGCCGTTGCTTGTGCCGCCGCCCGCTGCCATCCCGTGCTCCTGCCAAGGCAGGTGCGACAGAGCTGGCGCCAGCCTTTTCCTCCGCCGATCCTTGCTTATGCCAAGTGCTGCTGCCAAGCTTGTCAGCACATGCCTCGCGCTGTGCCCTGACCAGTAATTTGCCATCTGACCTGGCAACAAGAGCTCTCTCGAAACTTTCCAGATCCCCTGCTGCCTGACAGGAGTGGGGACATGCTGAAGGAAACGTCTGATCTGCAATGCCAGCCCTTCTGCCTCCATGTATTCCTTTGAAGCCCCGTCCCAGTCTTTCGTGAATGCAGGACAGAGAAAATCACGAGGCCACGCGAGCAGTTCTGCAGAGAGAAGCTTGTGCCCTTCCATAATCCAGTCAAACCCACTCAAGCAAGCAGCGCGAGAGATAAATCCATGAAGTTCCCCAACCTTGCGGCCCGGTCCACTCGTTTTAGTCTTATTCAAAACGAATCGCAGACCCACCTGGCTGAGCTTCACAGACGCAGGACTGATGTTTTGCACGTCATCAGCTCTCAGGCTAGCCCAGCACATCAACAGCAAGATGAAAGCCATGTATCGCAATCCCACCTCGTAGCTGGGCCGGCAAACCACCAGCTCACAAGCTAGCAGCACCACCACGGGCAACATTGGCGCTGGTTTGGCCGGTGGTGCACCAGTCTCAAGCTCGGCACTCCATGACCGAATCGTTTCAAGCAAGAGCTGGTCCTCACACAGCCGCCGCTCAGACGGAACCATTCCCACAACTTCAAGAAGAGTGATGCTCGCCAATATTGCCCGCGGCACTGTCTTCCCCATCGCCTTCACAGCATGTCGCTCCTCAAGATATTTCAGGATTTGTCCCACATCTGCCGGCCACGGGGTCCCAGCAGTCACCATTAGCCACTCTCTTACTGGCATCCAAGAACGCGCCCGATTCCGAAGTGTTTTGCCTCGCCGATTTCCAAAGATCCTCAACCACGTCGCCTTGCTGTCGCCCAGTGCTTCCAGGCGCTCTGAGCAAGGCAACTCTGCTTCCTTGATATACACTACGAGCTGCATCGCCCATCTTTCCCGGATCTTCGTTTCCATCTCTTCCCGGCTCCCACTTGCCTTTGATGTTCTCACAGCCCTCTTCAATTGCGACAATGCAACAGCTGGAGTCATCTGCACCTCGTCTTCAAACACCGCTGTGATGTCCCTCATCTTCCTTGGAACCTTCACCGGAAGCTCGCGGATGTGCTCCTGCAAAATGCGAACACTTGATGGCCCACGATGCAACCGCTTTTCCTTCCAGTTCCACAAGCTGCTTGCCAACTTGTTGATTTCTTCAGCTGGCTTCTTATCCCCAAGGAGCTCTTCCACTGTATTTGCTGCTTCACCCTCATCATCGAAAGCCCCATCAAAATGCACAATGCTCGAATAACTCTCACGGATAGCAGCAATCAATGCAGGATCAAGACCATGCAGCGCCGACCAATCGGCATGTCTCTTCATGCCGACTGCTGCTGAGCTCGCTGCCCATGCCTATCGAGCCGCAGGTCTACCCGCCCCTCACACACAAAATTTGTCCTCGTGCCAAAGTGGCAACGACATTCGCACAGTTGATCTGAGCTCAAGCAAAACGCACTGAGTGCAAACAAGCAAGAGGAACTCATGGCATTGCAATCTACGAAATTACCAAAGTACTTTCCAAGCGGCGCGAAGCCTGACGCAAAGTTTTTCACTTTTCCCCCGGCCCACCCTCCCGGCTCAAACCACGAGACAATCCTTTTGGGGAACCCAAACGGTGTGTCGCTCTGCTCTGGCAGTGCCTCCTTATCGGGACCTGCGTTCTCCGGCCCATTGTCAAGGTTTTGTTCCCCGCCGGCTGCCGGTGGGGTTTTCAAAACCTTGGTGCACTTTTTCTTTTGGAAAGATGACCGGCTGGTTGAAGGGCTGGCCGACTCCGTGGATTTTGCCGTGCTGGGCTTTTTGAGAAAAGGACCTGAGGTCCTTGGTCAAAGGGCTTGCATTCGCCTTCCCAGAAAACGGGAGACCGACTCAGCTAGAGCATCGGACTGCTGGAGGGCCGCCTCACGGCCTTTCTTCAGCAGTTTGTTGGCCCTGGCTCCAACAAGGCGGTCAACTTCATCATTGATGACTCTTCGCCACTCTTGTCCCGGCCCAACTTGGTCCTGAAATTGCTCGGCAGTCAGATGGGATGGGACCCAGTGCAACTTAAGCTGCTCTGTGGGAGCCGTGCCAAAAATATCGAGATTTCGACCCTTT